TTACTATTAGATGTGATAGAGATAATGGTACATCTGATTCCCATATTCATTCTAAAAGTAATAAATTTGGAGGTGTATTAGAAGAAGCATCAGTCATTTCTAAGACGATACGAGAACCACATCAGCGAGGTGGAGAAAAAACTCAACAAAAAGAAACCATATCATCATAACCTATCAAGAAATAGTATAGCTATTTTAAAACGTTTGGGTTGTAATTGTCATCCAGCATCTTCATCATCATCATGTTAGACAACAAGCTTAGTGTATTTCAAAAAGCTGTTTTTGATGAGAACATCGTTAAAGAACAAGAACACACGTATTATTCACGAACGAACATTTGAATATAATGATAATCAAGATCATTATTAATCAACAAGATATATTTTATATACTTTTCCAATGGGTATTTGTACTTGGAGCTTGTGTTTAATCCGAAAAATGAAGGCGATGCGCCGAAGGTAAAATGTGTTTTAACTAATAACGTAGGCACGTATTGATTTGAAACCCTCACCTACGTACTGAATGGTAAAGAAGTCGATAAAGTGCCTGAACCCTGTATTATGTCAACGATCAAATCGTTGTTATGCTATTCACCCGATGAGTGTATTTCATTGGAAGATGCCGGTTCGATTTCCCCTCCGAACTCGGAAATTCCTACTTACAACGCAACAGAGAAGACTAAGTCTTCGCATCCCATTGAGTAATTTATTTAGTGTCTTCCATGGTTATCGTAAAATTATCATGGGAAAACATACATTTCGCTTAGTACGTGCACGTAATAATAATAATTGTTATAAAAGTAGCGGTACTAGAAGAGCTACTATAGATATTCAAATTAAAAGTCAAACACATCCAACCTAACGATACATATAAGCTGCATTTACTAGAACAAATGAATTCAAATCGATTTATTCAGATTTTCATGAATTGCCTGGATTAAAATCCGCATCCAATGATGTATGGAGTGTTAAAGCCACTTTGAATTTAACTCGACCGCGATTTGTATGTGTCTGCTTTCAGACACATCAAAAAGATAATTCTGCTAGCGACATAACTCTGTTTGATAACGTAAATATAACAAACATTCGATTGTGGTTGAATTCTGAAGTTTACCCATTCGAAAACCAAAACTGTGACTTTAACAAGAAAAAATATAATATACTCAGTCATTATATACAGATTTTTGAAAGCTATTTTATGGACGAAAAATAAGCTTCCCTATGGTGAATTATGCGACCTTTTTAAAATTTCTCATATTTGTTATCGATTCTTCGCGGCAAGAAGATATCGAATTATCTACAGTTAATGTAAAATTAGAATTTGAGACACGTTCGAATTTTCCTGATAATAGGGAGTTTTTGAGCCCCTTCGTTGCAACACGCTTTACGTTATCCGTTATTCTGAACATGCACAATACTAAAGAAGAAACCGTTTACGTTATTAGAGAATAACGTGTTTCTTTATTTACGTCCGAGTAGCGGTAACGTTAATAAGCATCACGTTAAAAAGCAGAACGACGGTGTTGACAGATTTGACTTATTTCTAATATTATTAATAAAATAAGCGGCTATAATACAATAAGAAATGTATTGTAAATATATATAAGATTTTTTTATTGATTAATTTACGCCATTATTTGGTAATCACGGATTTTATGTGAAAATGGTTTAGGCAAATTTGAATTTTGGCAACACTATTAACATCGCGCGGACAGGTCCTAACTTCTAACCCATAACCTAACTATTTGATTTTGAATTTTTGTCTAGTATGTTTGGAATATGTTTCTTCTGAAACCTAAAATTGATAAGGCAATCTCTGGGCCCTATATTTTCTAAATTAAAAATAGCTCTTCGGTTTCCAACAACAGGTGGGTCTAAGATGTCGTGTAAAATTAAGCCTCTTATTAAATCGTCATCTACATCTCCCTGGTCATTCCGGCGCAGAAAGGCAGCTTCAATATTTTCTTCCATCTTAGCCACTTTTTGTTTAATAACAATACAAACTTAAACTAGCTTTGAAACTTTTCCAAAAAAACGAGATAAGAAAACAATAAAGTGAGGTTTATTTTATTAAGAGTGCGACGACAAACGCGGTATCAAAAACTAAAAAAACGCACTTAACGTTATTTGCCCGAATACCTTATTTTTCCAACAGTGCGAATGATTAGAATAACGTTTAGCGTTTAAGGCCAACGTAATTTTAAGGGGCCTAAAAACTCTCTATTACTCGATGTTATTGTTTAATTATTAATGATAAAATTAACGTACTGTGCGTGTCGGTCATCATATTATATTTATGCGCATTGGTAAAATTGGGGGGAGCCAGCTAAAGACGGATAGCGTTTGATACGACATGTCTATATGCACTATCCCGCAGGCATAATTTTCATCATCAGTTGCTCATCAGCTTTCGTCAGATGAACAACAGCTCTCCAAACAATCCACGTTTTGACTGTTTCCTTATTTGTTACAATAAGTGTTTCACACTCGCGGTCCAACCTCGAGGTTGAAGATTCACAAAGTGTGTGTTTTGCCCTCCCCCAGACCAAGAAAGAAATTCGAGCTCGTGTCTCCCCCAGAGGCACGTGCAGGTCTCCCTTTCGGGCTCCGGTAAGCCCCCCAGTGCAGTGCCGTTCAGGATAGTGTTCCTGAGCGTAATTTGTGATCGACGTTGCCAGCGTTTGAAATACCAGTAGCTCCTTCCTCCACGCATCACTTCAATTTTCATTATGAGCTCTCGCGAGCGGAGCCCTTCAGGGTCTGAAAGCGAAGACTCGAACGTGTCAGAAACGGAACAAGGTAAGCCTGCAAGACGCCCTCCCCAAAAACCCCGCACCCTGCTTTCATTCAAAGCCAAAACCAAGGCCGCCGACCTTCA